CTTCTCTGCTTGGGGCTCTAATGCACACACACAGTTACAGTGTTAGGTTTAATTTCAGTTCAAAATTTCAGTTCAGTTCAGGTTCAAAATCTCTACCTATCATTAGCCGAGAATTTGATTGTTCATTTAAATGGAATAAAAACGCATTCAAAGATAAACACACACACAGACAGACACACAAACACAGACACATAAAGACACAGACACAAACACAGATATATACAGACACACACACACATACATACACTGTGATTCCTATATCGTATAAAAGTTCAAGAAACAAACGAACAGACAGTCAAAGACACAAAGACATAATAATTTTATTTCATCTATCAAATTTGACGCCTGCGATTAAAATCAAATCACATATTTTACATATTTCTTAGATAGATATATAGAAAAACATATATATATATATATATATATATATATATATATATATATATATGTATATATATATATATATATATATATATACACATATATATTATTGATATATATATATATATATTATATAATTATATATATATATTAGAGAAGCATTAAATACATATATATGTACATATGTATATATTGATACCGGCACACACACACACGCACACGCACACACAAAGGTTTTGTTTGATATACAATACATTCTATCTAATCAGACAGAGACCGAATGAATATTGGATATATAAGAAACATTAGTATTATAATATATATATATAATAATTATATATAATATAATATACAATAATTATTATTATGATGATGATAATTATTATTATTATAATCTTCTACATTACATTCTGTTACATTTATAGTTAGATTTTTTTTTCTTTTTTTAGTTAAGAGTGGTCTATCCACAGGTTCAAATAAATTCAAAATTCAAATCTTAATCAGCATCGTCAGTATATAACAACACGGTATAATTATTATTACTATTACAGTTAACGGTTGTAACAGCGGAAATGGTAGCAGAAATAAAATGCAATAAAAATAAGAATAATAAATAATAATAATAAATAATAATGTTAATCATAATAATGAATAATTACCAAAGAAAATCAGAAGCGAAAAAAAAATTGATTAAACAAAAAGCAATCATTACCTTAGCGCCTGTTACTAAACAAAATCTCTCACTATATAAATATATATATACACACACACACACGCGCACATATATACACACACACATACATGTACACACATATATAAATATAATTATATATTTATATATAATTTATTATTATATTATTTATTATTTTTAAAACTTCATTCATAATCAAGGATAAGTAGATAAAAGTTATGTAGTTGATTATAGAGAAACTAACTAAGACCATAGACCATATGTCTTGACTACATTTTATATTAATTGGATTGAACTTTAATTGGGTTAACATGAATATAACTTATTTGATAGAGCGATCGTGATTGAATGAATAAATGAATGAGTGAGACAACAATGAATGAATGAATGAATGAATAAATGAATGAATGAATGGAAAATGAATGCATGTAAAAATTTAATGAAATTTTCATCGATAAATTGTGATGTGTCATTATATATATAAATATATATATATAGAAATATATGTACACATCAATATATTAGGCAATCACTACTCATGCCCTTACAACAATATATATATATATACACCGTATATATATATATATATATATACATATACATATATATATATACAGTAAAATGAATTGTATTGAAAAAGCTTGATTGTTTGACACAGGAAAAAAAATTTTTTTAATAATTATTTAATAAATATAGTTAATATTGTTCATAGTAGTAATAAAAATAATAATAAAATTATTTATTTATATATTACAGTTATAAAATAAGTTAGACGATAACCATTAAAGTAGAGACATAAACCGCGTATCGTCTATTGGTAATAATCTCACATTGAGAAACCGGCTTATTTTTTGAAAATTTTAAGTGAAATAAAAGACAGACAGACTAACAAACAAACAGACAGACATACAGACAAACGAACAAACATGTCCACACACACTCATACACACACATAAATACGCAAACACACACACACACACACACCTAGGCAAACAGACAAACCCACACAAACATCCACATACACATTTTCATGCCAATTAGACATTTGACATTCAACATACATACAAATCAATATTGTTACAGAATTCATTAAGAGAGAGAGAGAACCACACACACACACACACACACACACACACACACACACACACACACACACACATACTTATATATACAGTTAAACCAATGACTAGCCGAACATCACAATTCCATCATCATAATCATTACGTCGTCATCATCACTATTATCATCATCTGCTATCATCTGAGTAATAAAAAATTACTGTAGTACATATAAATTGATAATAATAATTATACATATATATATTTGTTTAATGTTTGTTATTATAAAGTTAAAAGGTTTAATAAATAATAAGTTAGGTTACTTATTTGACGATAAAGTGATGATGATGATAATGATGATGACGTTGTTGCGTGTATAATGATGTTGAGGTTGTTGCTATGATTATTGCTGTTGAAGATAAATAAGCAGCTGATGACGTGAACTATGACGTCATTAATCGTAACGCTGATCTGCTGTTATGGTGCAACGTGACGTATGGGTATGGCTAATTGTATATGATGTTGTTATTTTAATGTAATGTGATGTGATGACGATGTCTTGCTGTTGTTGAGGTAATAATGCGGTTAAGGGTGATAAAAATGATATAATGATGATAAAAATTTTTTTGAGTGAGTGAGTGAGTGAATGAGTGAGTGAGTAAAAGTGAGTGAGTTTATGTCTTAATGTTGAGTTGTAAGGAAGAACAATAGCTGTAAAGAACAAGAGTTGTAGGTAATATTAGTCAAAAACATTTCGTAGATGAATTAACATAGATGTTGTTGTTGTTGATGATGTTGTTGTCGCTGTAAAACATGGTATAATAACTGTTGTTGTTGATGTTGATGTTGTTGCTGGTGATGATATTGTTGAGGGTGATGTTGCAGCTGTTGATTAATGTTCTGCTGATGACCACCCAGATGTTGTTGTACATGCCTTTGTTGTTGTTGTTGTTGCAATTGATGTTGTTGTTGCAATTGATGTTGTTGTTCTGCTTCTTCCAACAGTTTAGCCTTCCTGGCTTGTGATCTGGTAATCATGGTGGGGCATGCAATTTTTTGACGTCGTTGTGAGGTGGCTGAGGTCTTCGCGGCAGAACGAGATTGTAGTTGCTGCTGTTGTGATAATGGGTTTCTATTAATGTTATTGATGTTGTTGTTGTTGCCGTAAAAAGCGTTGCAATGGTTTACAGTATTCATTCTCGTTGCAGCTGATGTTGTTGTCGCCGAAGATGGTAGCTGCTGCTGTTGTTGTCTGGGTTTATATGATTTCGTTTTACCAACTGCAACATCACAAACTTTGTGTTGGATGATTGGCTGCCGCTGCTGTTGTTGTTGCGGGTACTGTTGCAGTTGTTGCGGCCACTGTTGCATTTGGTTGCTAATACTGGTTGCAGTCGTGGTTATCGTTGTCGTGAGCGTCGCCGAGAGATTTTTACGATGCGTAAGAGAAGAAGTGGCATACTGTTTGGTTAGAGTCTTGTTGCTAGTGATGTTGTTGTTGTTGTTGTTTCTACCTCTCTGCTGCAGTTGATGTGGTTGCTGGCGTTGTAGCTGTTGTTGTTTGTTATTCCTAGATGTCGTTGTTGCAGTTGCTGTCGCTACTGCCGATGTCGCGGCTGTGGTTGTAGCCGATGTTATCGCCGGTGTCGCCGTCATCATTGGCTGCTTGTGGCCTCTGAAGCCGCCTGTCGACATTCGAACTGGGTTAAGAATGTTTTGTATATATAAATATATACAAATGTTTTGTGCATATACAAATGTTTAGCGTATATACAAATGTTTAGCGTATATACAAATGTTTTGCGTATATACAAATGTTTTGTATATAAGCAAATGTTTTGTATATATACAAATGTTACAATAAGCAAAGGCAACACATACAAACTCATGAAATTTCACAAATACTACCATTACTAAAACAACAACTACTACTACTACTGTTACTACTATTACACCAACAACAACTACAACAACAACTACTACGACTACGATTAATAATAATAATAATAATAACAATAATAAAAAAAAAAAAAATTTAATCACCTGAATTTTTCCTCTTCCGACCAGCATTAGCCTGATTATTGCGATTAGCGACGCCAATGCCAATATTATTATTATTTTTATTATTATTTATAATATCATCATCATCATCATCAACGTCATCATCATCATCATCATCATCGTCGCCAACAACATAACTTAAGTGATGGTTGTTGTTCGCGTCATTGCTATTGATAATATTCCTACTGGTCGCATTATTAATAAGTTTATTGTCATTATTATTATTATTATTATTATTATTGATGTTGTTGTTGCCGGCAAAGATTTCGAGGTTATTATTATTATCGTTATTAATGTTGCTATTATTATTACCATTATAGATGTTGCATTTCGCACTATTGTAATTATTAACGACGACAATATTATTATTATTGATATTATTATTATTATTAATGTTTCCATTTATAGCTGTGGGTTTATCCGCTATTAAGTGATGCTGGTTTAAGCAACAGGCCTGACCTGGCTTCATGTGATTGGCCAGTTCGTCGGCAGGCGGAGTCAGCTGACCTACATTTCCGACTAATGGCGGAGCTAGTAATTCGGTGGTAGCTTTTTGGTTCTGCATTTCAAGATAATAATAAGAATAATAAGTATAATAATAATAATAATGTCATTTATATAGCGCAAATTAAGTGTTATTAAAAAGACCATCTTTGCACTCAATATATTTCAATTACCAGGCTATTATTTATTTACCATGCATCAACAAAGTAAGCATCAAAGCATTAATCTTAATTTCAATTTTTATTGGTCTCCCCAAATGAAACCAACCAGCCAATCGTGTTATCTTATTAATTTAATCTTAATTGTCATTGGCTGCCAGTCAGCTTTACAACCTTCATAACCGTCCAATCGTAAAAGAAGTCGTAGTTGAAGGACTGTCTATGGAAGAGATTCCTGAAAAGCTGTCGCAGTTGAGAATAATCTGGTTTGTCGTCAAATTTCAGTGATCTACAGATCGACAAATAAGAAGCGAATTCGGCTGTGGGGTGCAAAATGATTGGATGAAGATTTAACAAATCAAATCAATCGAATTAAGTAGCATCAATTAATCAATTAAATGTTAACTGATGGATTGATAAATAAATGAAGCAAGAAACTAAATGAACAATTAAACATTAAATGAATTCAATAACAACCAAATTATAAAACAATTGATCAACCAAACAACCAGCCAATCACAAATCAGCAGACAAAAACGAAACAAACCCGGGAAATTCCGACAGAGTTCATTGATGGGCGTAGACATCTTCTTCTCACTGATCCTCTCGTACTTCTGAACTTTCGTCGAAGCTTTCAAATTCTGCCATGGTAGGCTACCTAACACGTGCATTAGTTTTTTCGTTCATTCATTCATTCATACATGAATAAATAAATAAATAAATGAATGTATGAATGAATAGATGAATGAATGAATAAATGGATAGATGAATGAATGAATAGATGAATGAGAATTCCCAGACACAAACCTCTCAGAAAATACATCAGTATATACCCCAAAGACTCCATATCATCTCTTCTACTCTGCTCCTTACCTAGGTGCGTATTAATACTGGCATACCTGGCGGTACCGGTCAGGTTTTTATCTTCTCGGTATGGTATGTGCTGATGAGTGCGTGCATCCCTATATTTTTTTGCCAGACCGAAGTCAATTGCGTACACGATGTTTCCACGTTTGCCAGTCCCCATCAGGAAGTTATCCGGCTTGATGTCTCTGTGTATGTAGTGCTTCAAGTGCACGTACTCGATTCTACTGATCTGTTTGTTAGTTTGTTTGCTTGTTTGTGTGTATATATGTCACTTTGTTCGTGTGTGTATGTATGTATGTTTGTGTGTATGTTATGTTTGTTTGTTTCTTTATGTGTGTATGTATGTATGTTTTTATGTATATATGTATGTACGTATGTATGTTTGTTAGAATGTATGTTTGCGAGCTTGTACAATGTTCATACAAAGCAACACCAGCAACAGTTACGCAATCCTCCTCACCATCTGATCAGCAAGTAACAGAACCGTCTTCAGACTAAATTGCCTGGAGCAGAAATTGAACAGGTCTTCAAGACTCGGACCCAACAACTCCATCACCAGGATGTTGTACTCCCCCTCAGAGCCAAACCATTTTACGGATGGTATGCCCACTGGGATGATGATGAAGATGATGGCGGGAGTGATGACGCGGTTGTTGATGATAATGATCAATGAGATGCGGTTGTTAATGATTATGATGAAGATTGTGATGATGATGTTGATGTTATCGCAATGATAAAATTGATGTTACAGGTTATTTATGGCTATGAATATTGACTAAATGTGATTATGTTGTTGGTGATGTTAGCCAATTAAGACATTTCTAAAGTTGATCATGTCGATGATTAATGCGATGACAATGATGACAATTAGGATGACAAAAAATGATGACGATGACGACGAAGGTAAACATTTACAAACATACAGAAAAATAAGTTCATATCAGAAACCAATTCAACTCCGTGAGAATTATCTATTTGTCATCATCATAATCTTTAAATTCGTTTTTCCCATTCCATATATCTTTCATATAAATACAATTTTCATCATTATCTTTATCATCTCAATCATCATCATCAGCCTCTCCATCTTCGTCGTCGTCATCATCGTCAGTGCTTTCCTAGCGTAATCAACTTAGCCATCAAAATTCTTGCCGCAATCATCATCTTCCATCAATTTATCACCATAGCAAGGATCACCACCGCCACCAGCCAACACAACCATTTAATAATAAAAATAATGATAAATAACATATAATATAAATTATATAATAATAATAATTAATTAAAATAATGATAAATATAATATAAATTATATAATAATATTAATTAATAAAAATAATAAATGTAATTTAATGGTATGGTATTTAATATAAATTATATAATAATAATAATAATTAATTAATTAAATTAATGTTAAATATAATATAATATAAATCATATAAATATAATAATTAATTAATAAAAATAATAATAAATATAATATAAATTATATAAATATAACATAATAATAACCTCCCCCTTGCAGTAATTTATATATTTTATTCTCGGCTTGTAATGTCAAATGCTTTGACCGACACAACTCCAGCTTGACTGCTACCGACTCCGAAGTCACCAGGTCTGTGGCTGTAAGCCATTTTTAATTAATTGATTGATTGATTAATTAACTTATTAACTGATTAATTATTTAATTGATTAATTATGCAGAATTTTTATTTCCAAATCTGTAAATAAATCGTGTATCTTATTCTGATAGAAATTCAGGTTTATGGGATTTATTTATTTATATACGAAATGGAATTTTAGATATGAAAGTTAAGTGTTTCTTTCAATTCTATATTTATTTGTTTTAAATTATTTATTTATAAACAATTTATTTATTCATAAAAATTGAAAAAAACGAAATCACAATTTTTTCTAAACTAACTAACCTAGATATATATTGCCGAACGAGCCACTACCAATTTTCCGGCCCAATCTGAATTTTTCATTGATTCTTAGGTCCATTCCTATGGAAACAATTAAACAAGTGATAACTTAACTCACAAGTATTAATAAATAAGGCAGGTTTTATTACCTAATTAACCATACAATAAAAGTAAGCATAAAAGTAACATGCTCTTAAGTCTTAATGATGGAATTGAGAGAATTTCCTACCTCTGGAAACTGGGTCTCTGGACTGGATGCTAAACGAAGATTGATTGAATGATGAAATTGAGAATTGTGATATTAGTTTTTAGTCAATCAGATCTACTAAGAAGTATTATACAGTTTCTTATGGCATTAAATAAGTATTTGGTAATTAAAAAAGAGTGTGTACGTAAGCTAAAGAAAGAAAAAATTTAGAATTACCAGTTATAAAATAAATTAAACTAAGAAAAAAACCAGACTTACTTAATTAAAATTAAAAATTTTTCAACAAATAACCCGATTTTAGATTATTTATTTATTTAATTATAAAAACTAATTATGTATTAAATTTAATTATTTTTAATTAAATTAATGAGTCATTTGAAGGTTTTTGTTTCAATGTTTGTTTGATGAAAGAACAGAACAATAAAAAAAATTATAGAAAATAATTGTAAGTTATTTTTATAAGCGTTGTGATTTTAAAATATTATTTTTAGAAACCGCTCCTGATAAAAATAACATTTTTCGGACCGTCAATCATTCCAAACTAAAATAATTAGTGAAAAAGAAATAATTTCTAAATTACTATTAAAATACATTTAAAATTCTAAAATATATTATCGCTCTAAAGACCAAAGACAAAGTAGATTGTAATAAATTATTAATCATCTGGTTAACAAAAAGCAAAAAATGGTGTAACTCGGATTTGTAAAATGTAGTTAAAATTGGCTCAAACTTTCAAATTTCATCGAATATTTTTAACAATTTTTTAAAATAAAAAGTACCTTGATAAATAGGTCCAAATTAGCGTAACATTCCAAGTAAAAATTTAAACTATATTGCCCTGTTCGGTCGATTCAAAATACTATATCAAAAATAATTTCATTACCAAAATATAGAATTTTATGTTTAAAAAATTAAGTACTACATGAATCTGGTAACAAACTACAAGCTAATTCGCTATATCAGCGCCTCATTTTCAAAAATTGAACTATAGTACGTTGTTCATAATGATAACTGTACGGCCGCGATTCAAGATACTATATTATTCATTAACCTGGCATTTCCATTACCGAATTATACATTTTCAATCTCACGGAGTACTACATGAATTTTGTTAAAGACTACGAAAAAAATAATTTTAAATGCTGTTGAGATCAATTGTAGTAAGTAGAATTATAGTTGTTGTACTGGTATTAAAAGTAGTTATGGTAATAGTAGAAGTGTTGTATTAGTAGTAATAGTAGTAGTAGCAGTAGTAAATGTAGCAGCAGTAGTAGTTACAATAGTGGTAGAAATGATACAGTGCCCGCATTCGCATTTTAGAATTATTCATTCATTCCTCTAAATCCTTCATTCATTCTTTCTTTCTTTATTCATTTTACATGCACACATTTCTTCGATTATTCTATTATTTTTTCATTTATTTATTCATTCATTCAGTTATTCAGTCGTTCGTTTTTTCATTCACTCGTTCATTAATTCATACATACTTCTATTCGATTGTAATAAGTACAATACGGCAAACGTCAAATTATACTTTGTGCATGTATGTGTGTATGTATGTATGTATGCATGTATATGTATGTGTGTATGTATGTATGTATGTATGTATGAATGTATGTATGTATGTATGTATGTATGTATGTATGTATGTATGTATGTATGTATGTATGTATGTATGTATGTATGTATGTATGTATGTATGTATGTATGTATGTATGTATGAATGTATGTATGTATGTATGTATGTATGTATGTATGTATGTATGTATGTATGTATGTATGTATGTATGTATGTATGTATGTATGTATGTATGTATGTATGTATGTATGTATGTATGTATGTATGTATGTATGTATGTATGTATGTATGCATGTATATATGTATGTATGTATGTATGTATTCATGATGTATATATATTTGACCATGGCGTTGAAATCATAAAAATTGCTCTGAAATTTTATAGAACGCTTTTTTGAAGCGAGTTTTAATTAGTTCTAAAATTATTTCAAGTAAATAAACTAATAAAAGTAATTTATAATAATAATAACATTAATAATTATTTCAATTATAACAGTATTATTATATTTATATATTATGTACTAAGTTATTGTCAAAGGAGCAACTGTATAAATAGATATATATTTCCAAAGGTAAGAAATTTTAATTGATACACAAACAAATATAAAGACACACACACTCACTAGCAAAAACACACACACCACACACACACACAGACACACACACAAACATACACACAATACACACAAACACACAAACAAACAAACAAACACACATAAGCACGCACAGACACCACACACGCACAAACAAACAAACACACACACACACGCACAGCCACCTCACACACAAACAAACAAACACACGCAACAAACACAGGCACACATTGGAAGATTGAAAAATGAGGCGAAATGAGGGTCAAAAGATGAACGAAAAAGAGCTGATAGCATTCATATCGTCAGAAGTCAGTGTATAATAATAATAATAATAATAATAATAATAATAGGCATACACACAAATACACACAAACAAAAAAAAACACACACAAACAAACACAAACAACAAAAACACATTTACACCGATCTTTGCTTGTTATAACTCACAATAGCTGAACCGTTTGTAAAGACGCTATTGTCCAGAGTTGCAATGAATTATTGTTCTGAACTGTAAATTAATGTATGAATAAATGAGTGAGTGAATGAATAAATAAATGAATGAATGTATGAATGAGTGAGTGAGTGAATGAGTGGATGAATGAACGAGCCTGTATCACATTCAATTCTTCGAATGACTAATACAAATCCTTTTTAACACAATTACTTAAAATCAAAATCACTCAATTTCTTATTAGAGTTACAAAATCTTGCCATAATCATTATCATCATCGCCATTACAACAAAAACAACAACAACAATAATAATAATAACTAATTATCACCATAGCCATCATCATAATTATCATAATCATAATCGCCATCATCGTAAGGACCATTCAAGATTGTTAGACTACAGTTACCAACAACCAGATACAAGCCCTCCACAGCAGCAACAACAACAACAATCACAGCAACAGCAGCAGCTGCAGCAACAACAACAGCAACAATTTCAGCCACAAGGTCAAGGTAGGTCATTGGCAATAGCTTTAGATACACATTCTCTACCTCCCAAATCAACGATTGCTTTCAAAAGTCAACAACTGCCACAATATCATCAGCAGCGTCAACAAATGCAACAACAATTGCAACAATTTCAACAATGGCGACAACAACAATCTCCACCGTCACAGTTTGTGCCGGAACTTTCTCCAATAAATTCACCATCTTCGCCGTCTAAACAACGAAAACAGCCACAGCAGCAACTACCACAACTACCAGCTTCTCTATTTTCACCCACATCACCATTATCTAAACAACAAAAACAACAAATTCCACAGCAATGGCCGCCACAACAAACAACACCTCCATCACAAACATCACCGTCTTCCCCATCTAAACAACTACAACAGCAGCAGCAGCAGCAACCACATCAACTACTACTACAACAGCAGCAGCAACAACAACAACTGCCGCTAACATTACCATCCAGTTTGTTACCAACTACGCCGTCTTCACTGAGCTCACCGTCGTCCAGATTTCAACAGCCTAAAACGATTTCTTACTCTTCCCCATCATCGTCACCCAAGCAACAACTATCAATATTTTCAACCTCTCCGCAACAACAACAACATCGTCATCGTCATGGTCAACAACAACAACATCAACAAATATCCAGCCAATCAAAACCCGCCACTTCGAAACCAATCGAAAAGATGAAAAAATTTTTTAACATCAAAAGTCGGTCGTCAAAATCTGCCGAGCGCACGAACGCCAGTCGACAAGCCGCTAAAGCAACAAAACTCTTTTCCAAAGACAGAAACGACTCTGACGACGACGACGACGACAACGGTGGCAGCAGCAGCAGCAATCTCGACGTAGATGAGGCTGGTAAGAGGTACCACTACACTAGGCGCGCCACAGAGGGCGGCATACAAGCACCTCTACAAAAATTAGGCACAAAACTGAAACTACTGGAAACTTCGAAACATAAAGATGTCCTGCTGGATCCGCTTCAGCACAAGTGGACGATGCAACAGAAGATTATAGAGGTTCAGCAGAAGGAGATTGATGAAACGAAAGCGAAACTGAAAGAAGTGGAAGAGGAAATCGAGAAATTGAAAAATCTTTTTTTGGAATCTGAAAAACGAAATGAAGATTTAACAGCTCAACTACAGCAGCAAAATCAACTGCTTAATCAACAGTCACTATCTCCACTACTACCACTACCATCACCACCACCACCACTACCACCACCACCACAGCTACATCAACAGCAGCAGCAGCAGCAACAACAAAAACTAAAACCTCAATTCCATCTGAACCACAGACGAACAAGATCAGACGGTTTTAAATTAGTAGTCGACCTCGACGCCACACCAACGTCACCAGCATCATCGAACGAGCATCCTTCCTTTTCCTCAAACAAAACACCTCCACTGAGTAGCAGCACATCCAGGATCGCAATCAGTGCATCTCCCGACAGGACCCAAACACCTCCAAAATCCGCCCGGGTAGCCAGATTAAATTTGATAAAACAATCAGCGTTGCTAAACCGCGCAACTAGGATTCGAACTTTGTCTGATTGTAACAGAGACCAAAATCCTCATCTCACAATAAGCGGATATCAGTACCGACCACCGAATCGGCTGCCAGTCGTCTACGAGCATTACGAAACCGTCAACACCGAAACATACCGGAAGATGTACGGCGGTCGATATTATAAGAAGAAGGAGAGTAACATCGATAAATTACTCGAGTTGTATAACGCACGTACAGGTAATAGCGAGGAAAATAATATTGGTGGTAGTCGAAACAGTGGCGGAAGTATGAGCGTTTGCAGTGGCGGTACCGCAAGTAGCTCGATTATTGTAGAAAGGAAGAATCGGTTTCAAGTTATAACTCGCAATAATATCGATCTCGGTCAGTCGGTACAGCAGCAGCAGAAGCAGCAGCAGCAGCAGCAACTTGCAGAACAAATTGAAGAATCAAAAAAACAACAGCAACAAATGCACAGTCTAACAACATCGCCACAACGACCGAAAACGTCACCACAATCTCGCCAAGAGCCACCGACGGTCATGTCCCAACTCTTGAAAAAAACTCCAGAAAAAAGTAGCGACTTGGATAGCAGCGGAAACAGGAGCAGTGAAGAGAGGAAGAAGACGATTGGCTTGGATGATTATTTAAAGATGTACAATGAGATGATGAGAGAGAGGGCTGCAAGTCGTCAGCCAATCAGAAGCGGCAACGCCAGCAACGACCTTCCCACGCAGCAACTCATTAAGAAGAGGAATAGAACGGTTAGTAGATTAGTAACTTTCATTCATTCATTTCATATTTCGGTTTTTAATTATTATAAATTAAGAATGTGAAAGACTTTTTGAAAAAACATTTTCCGCTAGGTGTCAATCAACTCAGAGTCCCCAGATTCTAAGTCGTCACCTCAAAAGCAACAACAACTTCAGCAGCAGCGACAGCAGCAACAGCAGCTACAGCTACAAACGCGTTCGTTATCACTAACTCCACCAACACAGCAGCAAGCAATATCTCCAGCACGCCACTTATCTCTAACTCCCTCACCTGGTCAACCAGCCACCTCCCGATCCAACATCCTCCCGACCAGGAAACCATCAATTCGCAGATATTCCTGCAGTGAAGCAACTTTCGACTCCAGACGCAACTACCCCTTCCAACCCTCCAGAAACAAACCAACCAATCAGACGAAGGACATTGCAGAGCGCGGCACCAATAACGTCCTTAGAAAGAAATTCCTCGATTGGACTTTCAGACGGCAGAGTGCCGTAGAACCACCAAGAATTATGCCCACAAGTGACAGTTTCAACAGCTCTCCACCCGGTAGCACTAGCATCAGTAGCTCAAACTTGAGTGGGTACACTTCTAGCTCTGGATCAATCATTTCGGGACTCAATAAATTTGGTAGCAAGCTGGCCAAGTTAAAATTTCGTAAAAAAAATGGTAGAAGGCAGTCTGAGCCGACGCAGACGATGAATAAAGAGCTGAAAGGCTTGGCGGTTAAACATTTGAGGAATTTGTATCAGAAGAAACTACACGAATGCCAAGAGGCCAATTTCGCTAATGACAAATTGAGAGTATGTATAGACGTTTGTTTGTTTATGTGTTTGTCTTTGTGCGTGTATGTATGCATGTGTGTGTATGTGTGCGTGTGTGTATGTGTATATGTGTACGTGCGTGCGTGCGTGCCTTTGTGTGTTGGGCTATCAATGCGCTGACAGCAATAAACTAACTAGCAGAATGTAAATAACATGTGGTGAAGAATAATAAAAATGAATACTAATAATAAATTATTCACTGTAAAAGCGATAAAATAATAATAATAATTATAACAATAATTATTACAATAAGAATTATAACAATAATAACAAGCGTATTTGTACTAATATCAATATCAGCACTTTTAACGTTAATTAGCAATAAGTTTGGCACAGGCAAAAACACCTTACTGAGAAGAAACAATTAGATGATATCTATCAAATTATTATTATTATTATTATTTATTATTATTATTATCGCCGTAAATTCTTTTAGAAGACCCAGAGAGAACATTGCAGACTCATTTCACTTGGTTTGTTAGTTTGGTCATTTCATTCATCTATCGGTTTTTTAATTCATCCATACGTTCATTTATTTATTTATTCATTCGTTCATTCATTCATTCATTCATTCATTCATTTTTTTGTATGTTTGTCTGTTCGTTTACACCATTCTTTCATTCATTAATTCATTTGCTAGAGACACGTTCTACTTGGATTGTTAATATGGTTATTTTAATTATTTATTCGTTTAATTTTTCATTTATTCATCTATTCAATCATTTGGTTATTTATTTGTTTATTTGTTTATTCATTCATCATTCATTCGTTCGTTCGTTCATTCACATAGAGAGCTTGGGTATATCAGAAATAATGAAGAACAAATTTCTTGTGTGGAAGGATAGTGAAAAATCCACAACTATATTACCTGTTCGTGAGATTCATGAATGAATGAATGAATAAATAAACGAATGAATGAATGAATGAATGAATGAATGAATGAATGAGTGAACGAACGAACGAACGAATGCTTGTTGTTGTAGATGAATATATGATAACAATGAATGAACGAAAGAATGAATGTTAGATAAGCAAGTGACTAAATAACAATGATAAAAAATAATAAAAACAAGCTATTATTATTATTATTGTTATAATAATAATAATAATTATTATTATTATTGTTATAATTATTTTTTGTGTCCACTCCCAGCTTACGGAACCGGGAAAAGTCGATCTATGGACAAGTGCGTCCCCATCAATGTCATAAAAATTATTTCAAATTAGAGGAAATATAATAATTTAATTAATTAAATTGTATTTAATGAATCAATTAAATTAATTAATTTATTTGTGATGATAATTATCCATAATTTTCTCCTAACTAATTGTTAGAGATATCAATAAAATACAGTTAGCGTATATAGACGTGAATTAATTTATGGCATATTATTCGTGTGATATGCCAGGCTCTCTTTGTATTCGAACTCGGTCACTACGACAGCAGGAACAGGCGTTCTAACCATTACATCATCACGGTGATTATTTTTCTCTGGTTTAATATAGCTCCTCCAGAAGTGGCAATAATTACGATGTTGAAGCAGTTCGAATGCTACGATATTATGCCTGTTAACTCCGAGATGATCCTCCTACATGAAGAGTTGAAGGTGGGGTTTTCCTTCATTCACTTTTTCAAATCATTCGTTCGTTCGTTCGTTCGTTTGTTCATTCATTCATTTATCATTCATTCATTCATTCATTTATCTGTTTATCCGTTTGACCATCTCCCAGTCCGTTCCATTCCTCTCTCTCTCTCTCTCCTCTCTCTTTCTCTCTCTCTTATAATACTAACAAGAATTATCATATTATTATTAATATTATTATTATTATTAAGATTATTATTGTTGATTATTATTATTTTTAAAGGTGAGTTCTGTGTTCAAAGCGCTGACGTTCAATCGCATCAGGAGTGCTCCAGTTTTGGATCAAAATGCCAAAAAATTTACCGGTGATGATGATGATGACGATGATGATAATGATGATGACGACGATGATGATAATGATGATGATTGTGGTTATGACGGCGATAATGATGATAGTTATGGCGATGATAATGATGATGATGATGGTTATGGTTATCGATGCTTAATTTTAACAACTGCTGCTGCTACTGCTTCTTCTGTTGTTACAACTGAGACTACTACTACTACTACCAATACTACTACTACTACTACTACTACTACTACTAATAATAATAATAATAATGATAATAATAATAATCATAATAATAATCATAATAATACAGGTATGATTACGGTTTCGGACTTTATTGACGTTCTTATAATGTGTTCTGACAGACCGGTTGGTTGCTGTTGTTGTTGACGTTGTTGTTGTTGTTGTTGTTGCTGCTGATGATGATGATGACGTTTCACTATGCTTTCCAAAAAGGAAATGTACCAATGGATTAAAGATCAAAAGATTAAGGATTGGAAAGGTAATAAAGTGAAAAACTAATAATTTATATTTTTTAATTTTTTAAATCTATTTATCATGGTCGTCATCAATTTGCTACTGCTTCTACTACTACTGCTGCTACTTTTACTGCTGCCACTTCTGCTACTACTGCTGTTATAGTACTACTACTTTTTAAAATATGATAAATAACGAATAATATTATTATTATTAATTTAATTACAAATCTAGACTTAGACAAATACGTAATCAGTGAAGATAGTACAGCAGCCACAACAGCCACAACAACCACAACAAGTTCGGATTTCGATTCCAAAGATAAAAGTCATTATACGACCGCATCCAATACAGAGACAACAATACTGACGCCATCAACTACTACAATGACGTCATCATCAACAACAACAACAGCATTAGAAAACGCATCTGCAGCTGCATCAGCAACCTCACCAACTTCATCATCGTCGTCGTCATCGTCAGTGATACCACTTTTACTATCATCATCAACATCATCGTCAACAACAACAACAACAGCAACGACAACGTCATCAATAACAACGACCACATCTTCATTGTCGTCTTCCTTAAAACAACAAAACGACAACAACGATATGCTTCCTCATACTTCAATTGCTAGTGACATTAATGCTACTGCAGCTACTATTGATACTTCTACTTCTACTACTACTATTACTACTGCTACTGAAGCTATAACTGTTACTACTACTACTACTACTACTACTACTAATAATAATAATAATACTACTACTACTATTACTACTACTACTACTACTGCTGCTGCTGCTGTTGCTGCTTCTACCACTACTACCAAAATCAACACAACACCTAAATCGAAACGAAAGGGGAATGACGACGACGATAATGATAATGATTATGACATTTATAACATCAATTACAACAACAACAACAACGACGATGATGATGATGATGGTGGTGACGACGAAACCGGAAACGACTTCGAGATTGGATTGATATGCGCAGACATCAGGGATAGCCTGTTTGATGCCATTTCGCTGCTAAAGGTTCTAAAGTTTCATAGAATATTAGTCATGGATAAGAACCTATACGAACCTCTGTTTATGCTTACCTACAAGAAAGCTCTGTTTTTCATATACCTGATGGTTGGTTGGTCGTGTGTTCGTTCGTTTATACATCAATGAAAGTTCCATCTATTTGTTTGTTCATTCGTTTGTTCATTCGTTTGTTCGTTTTTTGTTCATTCATTCTATGGATTCATTCATTTTTTCATTGTCTCATTTATTAATCTGTCCATATGTTTATTCAATCAATCACTCTTTTACTCTTTTATTCATTCACTCCAATAATAATAATAATAATAATTATAAATAACTGTAATTTATTTTCTTAATAAAAAGTTCGACGCCATTCATCTGCCTGACTACCTTTACGAGCCAATCAGAAGCATGGGTGTTGGAACCTATGATATGGATAGGATTATAACGGTTAGTTTGGATGACCGTGACGTCATACGTATATACATACATACATACATACATACATACATACATACATACATACATACATACATACATACATACATACATACATACATACATACATACATACATACATACATACATACATACATACATACATACATACATACATACATACATACATATAAACATACATACAAACAATCATAAATACAAACAAACAGTCATACAAACAATCATACAAACAAACATACAAACATACATACATACATACATACATACATACATACATACATACATACAAACATACATACATACACACACAGATACAGAGATCCACACTGCTGTTGGATGCGTTGAAATTGCTAAATGAACATCACATCTCAGCCATTCCGGTTGTTGATGACGACAGAAAACTACTCGACATCTTCACCAAAGAAGATGTTATGGTAATGATAACGATGACGACGACGATGATGATGATAATGATGATGATGATGACGTCGACGACGAGGATGATGATGAAGAGGATGATGATGATGATAAAAATGATGAAGAAGATGAAGATGATAATGACGACGATGATGATAATGAAGAAGAAGAAGATGATGGTGATGTCGATACTGCCCATTTATTAATTTGCTAGATCATGCATTCGTTTATAAACTTTTTCATATCGTTATTAAGTTATTAATTTATTTCTTGGTTGTTTTATTTCTTTACTAACTCACTCAATCATTCATTCATTCGTTCGTTCGTTCGTTCGTTCGTTCATTCATTCATTTGTTCATTCGTTTTTGTTCGTTTGTTTATTTTTTTCATTCATTCTTTCATTCTTTCACTTCACGACGTAGAATTTGATCTTCAGTGATTTGGCAACCCAGATGAGTACGCCAATTGGCGATATTGTTCGAGAGCAGAGAGAGGTGAATTCATTCATTCATTCATTCATTCATTCATTCATTCATTCATTCATTCGTTCATTCGTTCATTCGTTCATTCGTTCATTCGTTCATTTGTTCATTCATTCATTTGTTCGTTCGTTCGTTCGTTCATTCATTCATTCGTTCATTCATTCATTCATTCATTCATTCGTTCATTTGTTCATTCATTCATTTGTTCGTTCGTTCGTTCGTTTGTTTGTTCGTTCATTCATTCATTCATTCGTTCGCTCACTCTGACAGCGATTTGAAGGTTTATTCCTCTGCAACGATTCAGATCAGCTCATTACAGTTATTGAGTATTTTATCGTGTCGAAGGTTAACATCATCATCATCATCGTCATCATCATCGTCATCATCTTCCTCATCATCATCATCGTCATCGTCATCGTCATCGTCATCATCGTCATCATCATCAGGTGCATAGATTGTTAATTGTGGACCAAGATAAGACATTGCTGGGAGTCGTTTCTCTATCAGATGTCGTCAATTTTATGGTCTTTGGTCACGATGAGGAAGATGAAGGTGATGATGATGATGATGATGTTGTTGTTGATGATGATGATGATTATGAGCTACTTTTGTTGCTACTACTACTGCTACTACTGCTGCTACTATTACTTATTACTATTTTTATAAACAAAATTTATCATCGTCATCATCACCAGCATCAACATTTTCATCATCATCGTCATCATAATCAACAAAAGACATACAGATCGGGGATGAAGATGATGATGATGATGACGTTAGTATTCAGCTCAGCCAATCAAGTTACAGTATCGACTCTACGTCACAGGATGGTGTGGCTGTGACGTCACAGATATGATGAGGATGCTGTGGTAGTGATAGTTGTCTCGTAGAGATACCAGCAGACAAACATACCAGCATAGTTGCACACACACACACACACACACCAAACTCATACACACACACACATATACACTTTCACACACACACACACACACACACACACACACACACACACACACACACACACACACACACACCCACACACACACATGTAAGTTTGTATGTTTTTTGTATGAATGTATTACTTTTCGTTTGTTTGGTTGTATGTCTGTATGTTTGTGTGCGTGTGCGTGTGTTGGTGCGTGTGTGTATATATGAAATTAGATTTTATTTGAGAAACTATTTTAAAATTGAAGTAATTAATATTACCATCTTACTTCTGTGTGTTATTATTATTATCAGCATCATCTTCATCATTATTTTTGTTATAATAATAATAATAATTATTATTATTATTTAATAATAACATAAGAATACAAAATAGGTCATCGCCAAAGTTTAATTAGCAGTATGATTGCTATCATATCATCATCATATATCATGATATCATAACATCATCAGATGCCATATATTGTGATCGGAATAATCAATCAATTTTCATTTGATATCACCTTATCATTGCCGTACTAATTTTACTTTAAATGAAAAGCAACGATGACTAACTATGATGATTATAATTTTACTTTAATCATGACTATTTCTTAATTAATTTCTTAATTAATTTCTTAATTAATTAATTAATTAATGATTTTACGCATTATTGTTTGGTTTTTATTCTTTCATAAGCGCTATTCATGCCTTCTCCATCCACTAAACGTTACCATTTATCGTCATCTAAACTACCTTACTAAATTATTTTATTTTATTTTTCGTTCTATGACTTACTTACTAAACGATCACGTGATTTATGACGTAACGGTTTACATTTTTTTTACCGTAAGAGTGAAGTTACTGAATTACATTATTAAACTTTACTACTATTGCGAAACTGATGATGTGGTTAAATAACGAACAACTAACGAATAACTTTAGATGCCTTATTTTATTTTTGTCTGTACTCATGTGACACAATTGTGCATTTGTGTGTGTCTGTGTGTGTGTGTCTGTGTGTGTGTGTCTGTGTGTGAGTCTGTGTGTGTTTGTGTGCTTGTATATGTGTGGGACTGTCTATTTATTTGTGTGATTTATCATTTGATATTGCGGTTTTGAGCATAATATATCAACTACATCATTATGTCATTTTGTAATAGACTGGCTTAGTTTCATTTGTATTTTATTCATACAAAATATACAAACACGTACGTATGCGTTTGTATGCAACTAAACATGCACATACGCACAAAAACAAACATACGATACGATACGATACGATATATTTTATTTGCTTCAAAAATAAGAAAAGAAGACAGGATGACCATGATCAAGTTATCAGGTAATTTATCTAGCATGGCCACCTTACAAATAGTTTTAAACAAAATGAAGTTTGAACTAAAAATTTTGTAAAAGAGAAATAATAACATATGTATGTACACACACACATATGTATGTATATATATATATATTTCATAATAATAAACAAAATACAATAATAAACGTATTACCAAAAATAGGAATTAAATCAAGGAAGATGAAGCAATAATTAATCAATGTGTGTGTGAGTATGTTTGTGTATGTATGTATGTGTGTGTGTGTGTGTGTGTGTGTGTGTGTGTGTGTGTGTGGTGTGTGCAAGTTGAACTTATAAAACCGTACAATTTTTTCTGTATACAAATTCATCTGCAGCTAGTGCAATTTTACACTTCTATTTGAATTTTTTTGTCGGACCTTTTTGTATAACTTAGTACCTGTGTTGTCGTCTTCATCTTCATCCACCACATCATTCGTCATCTTCATCATTATTATCATCATCCCAACATCATCATCATCTTTGTTATCATCATTATTATCATCATCATCACTTTTTCATCATCATCATCATCCGTCTAACATTTTTATTTAATGGTCTTAGTTATTATGCTGTTGCTAACAAATTTTGTCATCACTATCATCACGCCATACTTAATCATCATCATCATCATCATCATCATCATCATCATCATCATCATCATTGCAGTAGCATCATCATCTCAACATCATCACCATTATCATCACCGTCCCAGCGGGCTTTTCTATGGAATGCTTCTAGTTAAGGAGCAGTTGTTGGCATTGATGCTGACGTACGCTTTGATGCCCAGCGCCCACCTCACCCCCGTCATCATACTCACGATGATGACCTGGTGATGATAACGATGGTGGTAATGATAATGATGACGATGATAGTTATGGCGATGGTGTTGATGATGAAGATGGTGATGATGGCGATTAAGATGGTGATGGTGATAATTGTGTTGGCGATTAATATGGTGATGGCCAGATGGTGATGATGACGAGGGCGACCAAGTAGATGATGGTGATATTTTTGTCGGTTACGATGCTGATGATGATGACGGTGATGACTGAGTTGACGATGAAGATGATGATTTCACGACGATGTAGAAGATGATGGTAATGGTGGTGGCAATGATTATCATTATTTTAGCTATCACGTATATATAAATACATTACAAAGTTATTGCAACAATCATCATCATCATCATTATGACGTCATCATCGTCGACATCATCACCTGAACCGGTCTCCAGGGTGGAAATATACCAGTGTCGTCATGTTCCATCCTTAAAATTTATAATAATAATAACCAGAATTATAATTAATTAATTACTACAACTACTAATACTACAACAACAACAACTACTACTACTACAAAATAATAACCAAAAAGGATCTAGCATATAATAATATAATATAATAATAATATCGAATCAAACCTTAGATAAGTTGGTTTGAAAGTTTCGGTCGATCCGAGCGAGCCGGCAACGACTAGAAAAGTATCAGTATCCGATTCTTCGAATACATTCAAACTGGCGGGAACGTATAGCGGGAAAACTTCTTCGTAACTTATGATTGTAGGGATGGGCTGTGAGTATTCGTACTTATCGATACCGAGAGTTACCGTCACGTTGGCGTCGGTCGGAGCTCCGATAAATGTCGATCCGCCGGTTGTTATGGTTATGTTGAAGATGTGACGGTCTGGGGTTTTTTTTTTAGAAGTAAGTTCAGTATTCAGTTGATGAATTTTCTTTCGGTAGAATGAATGAATGAATGAATAAATGAATGAATGAATGTATGTATGTATGCATGAATTGATAAATGATTGAATTGATGAATGATGAATTGATGAATGAATGAATGAATGAATGAATGAATGAATGAATGAATGAATGAATGAATGAATGAATGAATGAATGAATGAATGAATGAATGAATGAATGAATGAATGAATGAATGAATGAATGAATGAGTAAAAATAATTGACAAAAAAAAAATTACTTTTCGTTGCAAGCAGCTGGCTGAGACTGGCATCCTAGAATCAAAATCATACAAAAATAACATTCATCTTAAAGCCAGCGTGATCAGAGATTTATTCAAGAAAAAAATCATTAATAAAAGCCCACCACGTAAGTGGTATAATCACAAAAGCCACTGGCGGTTGTACTGTTTTCAACACGTGTACCAACACCATCATCGTCTTCAAGAACACTCAGCCCTTGCTTGCCAATATGTACCATGGCCATCCCTATCGAGTGTGGCAGCCCAGACGTGAACAGCGGTGAGGATGGCAACAAACACAACTCTTGGACCGGCCGCGACTTATTCACCATCACCAAAAACCGACAATTACTTACCGAAAATGATGCAGTAGAATCGCTGCAACTATTGTCATTGCTGTTCTCAGACTTGTAATCGAAACCGACGCATACGCTCCCACCAAAAACAGTCCGACTACATGATTTAGCGCATTCCAAGCGTGTTTTAGCCGTTGTCCAGATTTCGTTAGCTGAGCTGATTTTTTCGTTGGCTAGTAGAAATTTTTTCAACTGCTCTGTATCATTCTCTGCTATGATTGCGTGTAAGTTTTCAGTAGCTGCAGCTGCTTGAAACTTGTACGTTCTCTCTATTATGGATGAAGAGGAAGATGAAGAAGATGAAGGAGATGATGATGAGGACAGAAGACACGAGGATTTAATTATAAGAAGAATCAACAGTGACGGTGCAGTCCAATTGATATGCATGTTCGCCTTGAGATTTCCTAACTAGTTCCAAAAATTCAACTCCATTGTCAATTCGTCTAGCTCCACGCTTTGCTAACACTATAAATGAGTTAATAAAAAGCACACATACACGCATACATACAGATACATACTTTTTATACACACATACAAACATACAAATATAGTATATACATGCGTGTATGTATGATTAGTCGACAAACACATCAACATCTACAACAATAACACAAAGAACCAGAATTTTTTTGCTAAGAAGTGCAAATTTCGTTCATTCAATACAACTGTACTCACCACAAGTATGTGCATTGTCTCTCTTCTCTCTCTCTCTCTTTCTCTCTGTGTTTCCGTGTGTCTATGTGTGTTTCCGTGTGTGTGTGTGTGTGTGTGTGTGTGTGTGTGTGTGTGTGTGGTGTGTGTGTGTGAAGGAAGAAAATTAATTTACTACAAAAAACTGAGAAGGAAATATTATTAATGGATTTTGCATTGTTCTATTTATAAAGGAGAAAACAATGAACTAAGTTAGTTAATAAGCGGATGGATGGAAAGAATTCTGATAGAAACAAATGAATGAATGAATGAATGTGTGAATTAATGGATGCACAGGTGAATGGATGATGTAATGAATGAGTGAATAAATTGATATACGAATGAATTAATGAATGAATAAATAATGAATGATTGAATGAATAATGAATGAAAGAGCGGACAAAAAAATCAGTCTATCGATAAATCATTTAATGAATAGATCAACTAAAAAGTGTAACCGCATTCTCAATCTTTTTCTCTCTCTCTTTCTCTCTCTCTTTCTTTCTCCCTCTTCTTCTTTCTCTCTCTTTCTCTTTCTCTCTATATATAAATGATTGATTTAAGCTTATACCAGAATTTATCGATAGAATTTTACAAACAGATAGGTAGAGTTGATGTTAACCGACAGACGACCAACTTGGTTCGCTTTTTTAGTTTAGAGGAAAAATAAAAAAATAATAATAATTTAATAACGACAGTAATAATAATAATAAATAATAATAAATGATAATTTAATAACGACAAAATAATAACAATAATAAATAATAATAATATTGTCATAATTAATTTCTATAACAGCAAACGACTGAGTGATGAAAATGAATTAATATAATATAATATAACATAATAATGGTAATAATAACAATGATGATAATAATAATAATAATTAACGAATAAATGAATGAATGAATGAATGAAGAGATAGAAAGAACGCAACAGGGACAATGGAAGGAGTAAAAAAACATTGGAGGACCATTGCCATCGTAGTCTCGCCTGTCATATTATTGCCAGTGCTTTTTGTCCCGACTAACACTGGTGGTGGTGGTGATGATAATGATAAGGCTAGTGATGATGGTGGTGGTGGTGGTGATGATGCTGGTGATGATGTTGGTTGCGATGATGATAATGTAATAAATTTTCAAGACGATAATTTTTGTTTTATTTATTTTGTTACCATAATCGGCATCATCATCATCATCAACGTCATCATCATCAACGTCATCATCATCACCATCACCATCATCATCCACATCATCACCACAGACGACAAAATGTCTGTACGTCTTACTGTTGATGATTTCCTATTGGCTGACGGAGTCTCTCCCTCTACCAATCACGAGCCTCCTACCAATGGTTCTATTTCCGGCATTTGGAATTATGAAGGGCAAGAAGATCGCCATGTTTTATATTTCCGTACGTATCTTTTGTTTGTGTATGATTGTGTGTTTGTGTGCGTGCGTGTGTGCGCGTACTTGTACGTCTGAGGCGTAACATGTGTGTGCGTGTTGGTGATGTGTGTGTTGCTTACTAAGGTGTGCGTGAAAAATATGTAATATATGTAATATTATTATTGTTATTATTATTATTATTTTTGTTATTATTATTATTATTGTCAGGACGCATCTATGACATGCGCGGGCGGTCTGATGCTATCTCTGGCCATTGAGAAGTCGAACTTACACGGGAGACTTGGACTGGCTATTCTTGCCTTCCTGGGTTCAAATCCCACCAGGTCCGATGATGATGATGATGATAGTGATGATGATGATGATAATGATTATGATGACGATGATAACGATGATATGGCAATAATGTTGACAATGATGGTAATAGTGATATATATATATATATATATATATATATATATTTGTATCTGTGTGTATGTGTGTCTGTATTAGTGTGTGTGTTGTACGCGCAACAGCCGACCACCAATCAAATTGCAGGATTTTATTGGCCTTCATTACCATTGGCTGGTTTTTCTCAATGTGGATTAATGGCGTTGCATTGATAACATTATTGATGCCATTTGTTGATGCTGTGCTCTGCCAGTACAAAAGGGGTTCGTTTATGATTGGCTGGTTTTTGAATGACTAGTTTCTTGATTGGCTGATTTTTGAATCGCTGGTTTTCGATTGGCTGAATTTTTAATGGCTGGTTTTTGATTGGCCGGTTTTGATTGTCTGGTTAGTGACTAGCTAATTTATAAACCTTAATTTACAGTTTAATGACATATTTGAAACATTTTAACAATTAATCTATTTTATTATAATTTGTTATGTTTCATGGAAGGCTTGTATTATGCTGGAAGGAGGGCAACAAGGCAGAAAAATATTGTGGATGACGAAGTGATAACATTGGCTCATAAAAACAACAACATCAACAATAATATCATCAACAACAACAACAGCAACAACAACAATATCATCAACAACAACAGCAACAACAACAACATTAACAACATCAGCAGCAACAACAGCAGCAGCAGCAACTACAACATTAACGACGACAGCAATATTATTATCGTCTTTGAGAAAGATAAAAAGAATAGCACGTACGTTTTGTTTAACATTTTAATTTCGATTTCAAATGAATTAATCGTGAATTATGAGTTTGAATTATGAATAATAAATTAATTTTTAATTGAATTACATATTAGTAAATTTACGTTTTAATTAATTGTTTAATCAATTAATTACTATTTTAATTATAAAATTATTACTCAACCAAACTCAAAACATATTTCAAACATCCAATCAAATTGCAGACCGGACGATCATGCCCAGTCTACCGGCCAATCAAAATCCATTTTGAAAATATTAATCAGTGAGATTGAAGTAGAGCTGGATGATGCTGAAATCCTATTGGAGGACGATGAGTCAGAAAAAAATCTCGTCAACCTATCAAAAATGTTATGCCTTGCAGTGGCCTACTCATCTACCATTGGTGGCTGCGCTACATTAAGTGGGTCAGCCAGCAGTCTATTGGTCGCTGAAATGACTAAAAAGTAGGTCAAATTTTAAATATTGATTGGTGGATCATTCACTAAATGTTAATTCAATTGTTCAAAACCTTTGATGCCTATTTCACTTCAGTCAAAGTGACTTTTATAAATCTTAGAAATGGAATGAATAAAAATTAATGGACGAATGAACGAACGAATGAATGAATGAATGAAAGTGGGAATGATTGGATAAAAGAACAAATGAAGGAACACAATAACACACAAAATCAAAAAAAAACATTAAATATACAAAGGTCATTTGAAAAACGCGAACTAAATTCCTCGCTGACATATACCAGTTGGTTACTCTACGGCTTGCCATACTCGTTTTTATCGATCTTGTGTCTATGGTTGTGGCTGCAATTAAGATATCTAGGGTGGAGGTAATGATAATGATTATAAATAATGGTGATGATGATGATGCCAATGTTGTGAGATGATTAAAATGACTTTATATTTAATTTCATCTTCATAAATAGATCATTTAAATGGTATTCAAACAATGGTAAACAACAACAACAGCAGCAGCAGCAGCAACAACAGCAAGAAATTTTAGATGATATTTTAACTAACCAGTTTAAGTCATTAAACTCGATAAGGTGGTTTGTCTTTGCTATCTGTTTAGTTCTTTCATTTATTCATTCATCCATGCATTTCTTTTTTCATTCATTCATCCATCCATTCATTCATTCGTTCGTTCATTCATTTGTTCATTCGTTCGTTCGTTTGTTCGTTCATTCGTTCATTTATTCAACAGTTATTCAGAACTGAATGTAGTGATTTTTGCCCTCTTAACGTTATTATTCTGGCTAACAAAAGACCTTGGATATTTTTCTGGATACGCAGCCCTCTTTAAGCCCGGGTTTGTATGCTTGTTTGTATATATTTTGTATATCTGTGTATGAATGTTTGTATGTTTGATTGTATGTTTGTATGTTTATTTGTTTGTATATTTTTATGTTTGTTTGTATGTTTGTAGTTACGTAACTGACTCAGTACCAACCATTTTCATTGTTCTCCTGCTTTTCGCCTTTCCATCGGAGAAACCTGATTGGCTGTGTTTTAGAGAGGAAAAAAGTTAGTCGGACTGTGATTGGTTGAATTGTTTGTTTATGAACGGTGATTGACTGATTGATTGGCTGATTGGCTTGAAATTGGTTGGCTAGTTGGTAGTTGACTGTTTTGTTGTTCATTGGTCCATTGCGATTTAAATGAGGATTTTATTTCAAAACTAAAAGGACCTACTAAAAGATCGACCTCATTACTTACCTGGCCAATCGTAGCGACGAAACTGTCGTGGGGCGCGGTCATTTTAATGGGTGGTGGATTCTCATTGGCTGAAGGAATTAAGGTTGATCATCGGCGATATCTGATTGGTCGATTGTTTTGAATGACCCAGTGGCAGTAATCATTTTGAATGTGATTATGATAATGATGGTGGCGATGATGATAATGATGATGATAATGAAGATGACTAATTTTATCAACATTAAGCAAGAAATACATGTTTTAAATAATAAAAAATATTATATAAAAAGAAAAAAATACAAAACTTTCACTAGGCGTCAGGCCTAACAAAATTTTTCGAAGAAAAAATGACGTCACTGAGCAACATGAATATATGGTCTTTGGTTATCGTTGTTGTTGTCATCGTCTCACTCACTGCGGAAGTTATGGGCGGAAGAAATGCATTGATTGTCTATCTGCCAGCCCTGGAGATGATTGTTAGTTGGTTGATTGATTGATTGGTGGTCAATTGATTGATTGGTTGGTTAATCGATTGGTTGGTCGGTTAATTGATTGATTGGTTAGTTAATTGATTGATTGGTTGGTTAATTGATTGGCTGGTTGGTTAATTGATTGGTTGGTTGGTTAATTGATTGGTTGGCTGGTTAATTGATTGATTCGTTGGTTAATTTATTGGTTGGTTGATGAAACAATTTGAATGATTGAATAATTAGTTAAGTGATTGATTGATTAATTGTCTGATTGACTGGTCAGTTGTTTGTTGATTGATTGGTTGTTTGTTTGATTGGTTAGTTGTTTGAACGATAGTATGTTAATTTGCAGGATAGTTTATTGGTTGACTGTACAACAGCTGACCGACTAAATGTGTGGTTGATTGATTGACCGATTGATTGACCGATTGATTGACTGGTTAACCAACTGATCAACCAGCGAACTAATTGATCAATCAATCAATCAATTAGACCAAAAACAGTCAAAAGGGCAACCAACTTAACTTACTGCTGGCCGCCTGTCTCGCATCATCAACAACATTCATGCTGCCAACATCATCCGTGATTAACTCACTAGCGTTCGTGAATAAAGAGATGAAAGCTTTTGACATGGTAAGATTCATGGAGATTATGATAATGATTAAAATGCTACTTCTACTACTACTACTACTACTACTACTACTACTACTACTACTACTACTACTACTACTACTACTACTACTACTACTACTACTACTACTACTACTACTACTACTACTACTACTACTACTATTACTACTACTACTGCTGCTGTTTTTGCTGCTGCCACTACTGCAACTACCAATTTTATTACTTCTAACACAATTAATACTACCACTACTACCGTCATTATCATTACCATGACCACCATCACCGTAATCATCATCAGGTAACAACGGGCCTCGTTATAAAAATCCTCGCCATCTTATTGGTCGTCGTGGCAGCCAATCTCTGTGGGGGCCTGGCTATTTTTAGAATTAACTCGTCGTCGGGATTTTTCGACGACGACGACGATGTTAAAATTTAATA